TATTTTTGCCTCCTGCATTACCGGTCGAACCAATAAGCTGGGTATTGAGAAAAATGCAACTTCTTCAAGCATCCCCCAAGGCTTCACCTATCAGATTCGCAGCATCACTAGCTTAGCTTTGCTCAGTTCAGGCGTCTTCTGCGCCAGCCTCTGAAAGGGAAAACACAAAGTGTGGCAAAGACCTCAATACTTGCACGAAAGGCGAAAGGCAAGTCAACGAGCGACAAAATTATGCGACAGGGGTGTCGCGTTGATTTGTACTGCTGATAAAGCATTATGATGCCCATTTCCCTGACGCTTGGGGTAAAGCGGCTAAGGTCTTGTGGGGTGTGCTGCCGTGAGATGTGATCTACGTGTCGGGCTCCTGCGTCCACTGTACCGTGTCATAATAATCCGCGGAAGAGCGTGTGAACAAACGTGAGCAATACCTGAACGGTGGGCTAGTGGCTGGGCATTCCTCGCAACCGCCTTGGCCGGGCAGTCGTGTCACGGATCCAGGAGAACAAACCTGTGGCAGTCGCGTGCTCATGACTCATGAGTGGTGACTTGCTACCTGTCGTCGTTGAACTTTGCTCTTGGCAGTGGGTATGTACACACCGTGGTGGCGTTGTTGGTGGGGGTGGTGGTAGCAGACTCTTGCCAGTCTGCCGCTGCGGAATTCTGGGGGCGCCCTGGCACGGGTGGTGTTGGTGTTTCTTGACATCGTGGTGGTGGTGGCGGGGGCGCTGGCGGCTGCTTAGTACCGTAGTCGTAGGAAGGAGGAGTACTCGATTTCTCTTGGCTTGTCGACGGCGGCTACTGCGTATGTTGAGGCAACTACGGCAGCATTGAATCAGCAAATCTTCCGTGGATGAATGCCGCCGCAGTGCGGGCAATAAACGAGTGGGGGCCTCGCCTCCCTAATTGACCTTGGGTTTAGGGTTTCGGCTCTCACACTCGGACAATCCAGGTTTAGGGTTTAGGGTTTAGGGTTTTACATTGTGCATGGACCATGCAGTGTCGGATTTTCATGGCTTCTACAAACATGTCTGCACCCACCTCGCAGGTGGAACGCCCCGGATCTGCACCGAAGGTCCCGGCAGGGCAGCTCTGACAATCCGATACGGCCTGGCAAGATGTTTCGGCACCCTAAACTTGACCCTTAAAAGACCATAACCTACTTTTTTGTAGGTCCTTGTAGAAATCCCGAATATGGAATTTTTCGGGGCCCTACAAACAAGTAGGTTTTGGTAGGCCGAGGTGCACTCTAGGAAGCTCGATTCTAGAATCATACCTCAACTCTAGAGCTGTAGTGACGATACTCCCATCATAATTCGAGCAGGGGTTGGGGGTATATTTTATTATAGGAAACTTCCCAAGAAGTACATTTTCAAGGCTGTATATTAGTCGTGCGGCTTGGGATTTGGAGGGGGCAGGCTTCAGGAGATGCTACGGAACTCTGCAATGGGGGCCTTCATAACCAGAGTAAAATTTGGTTTAATATATTCTAGTGACGGTTCAGGGTTTCGGGTTTAGGGTTTAGGAAACAGCACCATCAAGAGACGCCAACTAGTGTACCCCAAGACTCGAATCCGATGAGGAAGGAAATGCAGGGCTTCGAGCTCTCTGCAAGTCCTGATGGATTGAGATTCCTCGATCTGGTGGATCAAGGAAAACGGGATGCCTTGCTATCCTTCTTGAGGCTCCTTACGATAAGGATCCTACTATTTAGGATCCGCTTTTTTTCGGCGAACGGAACGGGGTCTTGCAGAAATCGGTGTGTCTGGAAACACCGAGCCTCTGTGACGAATCAAAAACGCATTAAATACTCAGACTTCCATAGCGACAGCTGCAATGGAAGTCAACAGCGCACGCGCCGCCAGACATTTCCGATGAACCCCACATCTCAAACCCTGCACAAACGTCCTAACGCTGCTATCCCCAACATAGGGCCTTTTAGTGATTGGAAGAGTCTACAACTGCAATAGGGAGCCCTGACAGATAGGGTTGTCCTAATTCTTGCGGCTTCCGAAACATTTGTTGCTGGACCCATCTCCCTGCCAGAAAGGGAAGCCCAGCGGCCGTGCCGCCCTCTTGGTTGAGAAACTTGCCAATGGGACAGCTCTTGCCTTCGAGGCGCCATCGAAAGAATTTGCACAGAGTTGGGGAGGGGGGGGGGGTATGTGCTGTATGAATATGATCAGGACTCTTGAGGAAGTACTTGTGTTCGTGATGATTCAGCCTCCATACATTGGTTTCGGCTTCGACTTAGGGTTCGAGGTTTAGCATTCAAATGTGGCGGTCGATGTCTCCTCGTCGTGCTTCCTCGCAGGTCTCACGTCGTCGGGGAAGTTGTCTTCGGAATGTAGGTTCAGATTGGCGCTGTAGCGTACTGTGTTTCGATGTACATCTCTGGGACGGGGGCCCGAGCACTAAATGCTGTGCTTCCGAGCTACAACTCGTCGCCGGGACACTGAGGTCATCGTTGAAGGTACCCTTCTCCTGAGCACAGGGTGAGGCTTAGCCAGTGCATGAAAAGTAAGCACCCGTTGCCTGGCTGCACATGCAGGCCTGTAATGTGTCTATGTTCCTGTATGTATGTATGCATGCATGCATGCATGCATTTATGTGTTTATGTATGCCTGTAGGTGTGCATGCCCACCACAGGCACCGCTGTATGCATGAATGCATCATCGGCAGGTGGTTTTGGTGTGGATCACAGACAACCCTTTATTATCTGCTAGCTCAAACTTATAACTTCCTCCCATCAGGTATTGAGCAACGATTGCATGGACCAACACTACAGCGACATACGCACAAATGCTCACAGGAACCGATGGAACCGTAAACCTATTTACAGACTCATGTGCACGCACATATACGCACAAATACAAACGGAAAACAAAAGGGACGGAAACAAAAACAAGGCATGATTGTACCCCATATTGTGTTCAACAGCACAACGACATCTGAACAACAGCGTCCAGGTGGTCCAAACAGCACTGCGGCAAGCACACCATCTATTAATTACTGTAACTAACGTAGTGACAGCAGTACTGACAAATTGTAATTACAGCCACACGGTCAACAAATGTCAACAAGCAGGCGGAATTTCTTCAGCAAACTGTGGATATGTTTTTTTTTGAGCACGGGCTTGAATTGTATGCCGGCAAGATGCTCGAGGGCAGGGACTTCCCAGTTGGGGGATTGTAATAATAAGGATTCTACTCACCGATATTGCACGCTATGCCTTAAATCCTACATCCCTTAACCCTAATTTCTTGCACGCTATGCCGCAAATCCTACATCCCTCAAACATAAATTCTCACATAGAGCCAAGATGCACATAGCAAACACTCTGTCTGCCCCCCATATGGCATGTACCGTCCCAAGGGGCACGCCAAGCAGTCCTTCGCAGCTTAGCGTGTTCTTTGTAGCGTTTTCCACTCTGACGGTCGCACGAGGCAGGCAGGGCTTCACGACATCTGGTCAGGGCCTTCAGGGTTCGAGATACCAAGTTTAGGTGCTTTAGGCCTCACAGGGGCTCAGAGTTTGAAGTGAACGGTTTGAAATGCTAAGAAATAAGAAAGGTTGACTATGCCAGGGTAGATCCCCGAACAGTGTTTTGGCGTTCGTGGCTCTTGCGTTAGCATCCATATTGGCAGCTCAAACTACCTCAAGGTCAGGTGCGGTGCTTCTTCGGCCGGGCTGGCGTAGGGCTGTAGCTCTGTTAAAGCAGATGCAGGGTCCATAGGGAAACTCGGGGGAGGACATGGCTGCATTCGGAAGCTATCACTTGCGTGCGAGCGTCTGTCTGCACACTGTATCTGCCCGCCTGGCAGGTGCCTGCATGACATGCAAGCGATTGCAGCAGCCAGGGCCCCGCATAGCGCGCTTCCCAAACATGCCAAATCACTGCCAATCGTTGTATCTCAGGAACTTACGGCTCCTCGTGGCGCTTGCGACGGCTTGCAACATCACGCCAGGACAGCTTCGCTTTCCACAAACCCCAAAACCTTAATCCCGAACACTTACACCTTTCAGCACTAAACCCTTATAAGCCCTAAAAACGCTAAGCCAGGCGCTGCAGGCAGCTGCTCCCTCCAAAGCTGCCGAGCCGCGCCTCTTTTTGGGGAGGCTCTTGGATTCCGGGGCGCCAGGATGAAACAAGTAGGGTTTAGGGTCTCAGGTGTGCTTGAAAGGGCGCCTTTGAAGGTTCTATGAGGGTGTTTATCGGCTTCATAAGTGTAGCAAATAGCCTGGGGGCTCCAATTTGGGGTTCAATCGGCTTTGAGTTTGGTGATTGAGTCTGGGGGGTGTGGAAGGGGTTTGGGCTTGAGGGTCTAGCTTGGGGCTTTAAACCGGGTTTGCAACGTTTTGGGGGCTGAGCTGGAGGGCTTAATAATGATGACAACTTGATATTAATGCCAACAACAACAACAATAATGACAACGATGACGGTGATAGTTTGTGATGGCTTCAGGGTGTCTTTATCAACTGGAGGGAGCCTATACAGGGCTCCAATCGGATTTTTGGGGCGGCGAGTTTCTTGGGGATTGCTTAAGGGGTGAGGGGTCATCTGTTCGGCACTCACACTCGGACTATCCAGGCGAGGCTTAACTGGATGAGGTGATACCACGAGCCGAGCACGTGTCAGGTGGAGGTATCGTCAATCAACAGATCGACCACATATATACTCTACGGACAACTCTGCCTCGATTTCATTCCATCTCACTGCACGTTGGTGTCCGCTCATCCAACTTCAACTTCAAACGACCAAATCGGGCTTCCGCTTGAAGGTGGTCATCTCGCTCTCACCTTTTACCGGGAAAGTGATGTTGAACATCCGCTTACCGACCACGATGTCATAGCCTTGTTCTGCGCAAGTGCCAACATGGAAGGTGCCGCTGTGGTTCGCGGATTGAAGCGAGTTGCCGTCGCATGGGCACCAGGATGGACAGCCAACACTTTTGCAAAGGCACGGGCCGCAGCCTGGAATAACGCTGACGAGCCGCTAGCCGCTAGACCCACTTGATGGCGTGGCTGCTGCAGTCAAGGGCAGGATCAGCGTTGTCAAGAAGCAAACCGTGGCCGTCATCTGACGAATACCTGTACGGAGTGCAGGCTGCAGCGGCAAATCCAGGAAGGCTTGAGCCGCAGCCGTCCGGGGCTTAGGGTTGGCACTCCGATCGGATTCAAGAGGGTCCCGACCCCTTTGAAACAAAACCTGAAATCGCAGCCTCTGCCGAGGTTTTGGGAAAGGCGAGTCGTGGCTCAGAAGCAGCATGGCACTAAGATGACCAACCAGGACCCCTGAAGCTCAAGAGCTCACACTCATGCGTGAAAGGAGCAAACAGGGCGCGCAGCGCAAAGGCGAGTCGGCGCCGTAGGCAGCAGAAGCTCGTCCTTGCTCCCAAGACTTCCCCACAAGCGAGGCGAAAAGACGATCGATATAATGTAGCCGCCTTAAGAACTAGGACAGGGTTTTAGAATACATTATACCATCCCCCAAAACAGTATTGATAATGATGTAGGCCGCATTCAGGCCCCTACAGTATCAAGCCTCTGCCACAACCGTTCACTGAAAGGGCCTTCGGCTTCAGTGTTCAGGGTGCAAGCGGTGGAGGGCCTCTGGGTTCAGAATTTATAGGGTTTAGGGTTCCAGGTTTAGGGTTTTAGGGCTTAGGGTGCAGGATGTAGGGTTTAGGGTGTAGGATGTAGGGTTTAGGGTTCTTGGCTTTAGGGCTTAGGGTTTAGGATGTAGGGTTTAAGGTCTTCGGGCTTAGGGTGTAGGATGTAGGGTTTAGGGAGACCCGTGGCATCAAATCCCCATCCCTCCGTGGCTTGCCTGCAGGACAAGCCAGGCAGGAGTCGCTGCCCTCTGCTCCCAGCTCCTGGCAGGGTAACAGCATCGTCCTCCAGTTCTGTCGACGGCTGGAAGGCAGCATGACTAGTAGCATTTATCGGTTATCCCTAAACCCTAAACCCTAAACCCTAAACCCTAAACCATTGTTGGGAGCATCTTCTGCTTCGGTTTGCTGGGGACTTCTGGGCTTAACCCCTCGATCTCATGGCGGCTGCATCACTTGCCGCCGTGGGGTTCTGGGCTAAGGGCGGTTGGGGTTTAGGGTTTAGGGTTTAGGAAGATTTCGGAATAAAGCCCATTCTATCTGCAGGTCCGGAGAGCTGTCGGGCGTCAATTGAATGTCTTTTTGAAGCTATATCGGAATTTCAGCTTACAACGAACCATGAAAAAAGACCGAAGTAGTAAAGCATGCAAAGAACAAGGGGCCCTGAGAAAGACCCCGAACACAGCAGGAAGTAGGGTAGGGGTCCATACCCCTCCATGTTCTGCCTGTCCTGGCTGTATCGACCCGGCCCACAATCGACGCAGGTGGAAGTATTGAACCTCGTTCTCTGTCAGTCTTGAGGGGAACAGGCTTTGACATTCACCCGAACAGCCTCCGTGAGCCGCATAACCGTACTGCAACCCCGAATTCCCTTGAAACCCTTATAGACACCCGCCCTAATCCTTTTTGAACGAGGTCTCTCTTCTCCCAAATCCTAAACCCTTAGACGTGGACAAATAGCCCATAGCGGCCAGCAGTGCAGGGGCTGCAAACGTCCAGCCCAGGGGACTCGGCGACGCGACCGGCTGCACAGAAATCCTTGGGCTTCTGGCGTGTTGACTAAACCGTAGTGTCCAGTAAGGTTGCAGGTGTTTAATGTATGGATCTTCGTGCCTTCTCTTCCGTGAAGCTCTCATCAGGCATGCGGGTTGGATGGCTAGTTCTGGACAGCTATTGCTTTGCACCATGGGGTTTGTTGGTTTACGGGTTCAAACATCCAGATTGAAACACAATTTCTTATATGATAGTGATGATGAGGACGATGATGAGGAGGAGGAGTGGGGGTGATTATTATCTTCGCGAGATCTTAACTACTAATTCTACAGTAACATGACGGGTATTCGTACCAGTACAACTACGCACTGCTACTGCTATTGCATCTCGTGATACTAGGAACATTCGTTGTTACTGATGATGATACGAAGAGTAAGTCGTATGGTTGTCACTAGCAGTAGCATTGCCGTTGTTCATTGCTGTTCCGGTTGACCCTCAAGCCGTTGACCGAAGCCGCGCCCTGCCGTCAAAGACCACACCGAGACTTGTCGCAGAAGGTGACATGAGCTAGACCAGATAGCAGAAGTCTTACGGAGCTTGTAGTCGGGGATTACGGCATGGTTCGCCAACAATGAACATGCTCGGCTTTACCATGTCGAGCAGCGCATGAAGAAGCATTCCCAGTGCTGATGGTTCCCAATGGACACGTCTCCTGGGTGCTGACGCGGAATCGGATTTTCACCGTGGCTGCATGCGACTCCGACTGAAACTCCGAACTCCGGAAACGGTGATTTGGTGATAGCCTTAAGATACTTCCACCACAACTAGGTTCTTGGCGCTGAACCATGGGCTCTGTAAGGCATTGCTAGCCGCCGCCAAAAAGCCAGTTGACGGTTCCGAGATTAGTAATGATTCACAGACACCGCTGAAAGCCTTTATGCAAACTGTGAAAAATTAGCAATGCAACCCCATATGCCCTTATAGCCCCTGTGAAGCTGTACTATGACAAAAATGCCAGAACCTTATTCTAATTGTTCAGGCACTGCAAGACTTGTAAACTTGATATAATGGTGAGCCTCTGAAAGACGAATAGATTTTCTCTGCAGGCCAGGCGCACAGAATGTCCACCCCTCACCGCTAAAGTTGCCAGGGCCGCAGCCTCTGCAAGCATCATCCGAGTCGGCACCATAAGCAGTCCCAAAGGTTCCTGCAGGGCACCTGCATTTAGAGTGCTGGGTTTGCCGGTTTCAGCACTCACAACTGGGACAAGCCTGGCGAGGTTCCGAGTACAGCGACGACAGCACATTGGCCAAGGGCTGGCACATGGTTTGCCGGTTTCGACTCTCACACTCGCACAAGGCCGGCAAGGCTCCGCATAGTTCAGTCTCCACATGACGATAAGACATGCAGAATGCTTGGCCACCACGATACACAGAGAATAACAAAACACAATAATAGAAACCAGAGCGTGGTTAATCAAGCAATCCTGCAGGCTTCGAGCATTTGCTCGCTGTTTCAAAAGACCATGCTACTCCTCAGTCTACACAATGAACATGCCCGATTTAGGGTTTAGGAAAAAGGGGTTTGCCAGGTGGTTCTCGGGTGTGGGGAAGCCAGTTCCGGCTTCTGTAGAGTCGTGGAGAGCTTTCATAGGTCCAGTGGAATTAGAGGTTTGCCTCCGCCTACTTTTCGCACAAACGAAGCGTGTAGGGTTCTTGGGTGCAAGAGGCCGGAAGGATGCAGACTCCGATTTCGGCACTCAACCCCGAGAAAAATGGGTCTAGGCAAAAAGGGCCGTTTCTTGATTTGGGTTCAAGCTCTTTGCTAAAAGTGCTGTAACCTCGGATGATGAAAAGTGAGCCCGCGAAGCGAAGCATGCTCGAACGCAGGAGTTGGGTGGAGGATTCCGGATTCCGTGTTACATCCGGGAAAGCCCCCGGAATCGAGCCACCAAAAGCCGTCCAAAGCCAACCACAGCCTACAAACCGAAACACTGCCTTGCAGCCTTGGCACAAGGTACAATTCTCCGGTGATTCTGCTCCCAGTAACGATGAGAAGCGGCCAGCCTCTCCAGTTTTTCGAAAGCACAGAACTGCCCTAGTCGAGCTGAATAGTTCACGGTGGGGTCTGCACAAGTATCCTTAACTCCCTCGACCCTGAAATCTTCGAACTACTTCAACTCAAACTAAACCGTGACAGGAGCTCCTATCAAGCGGCCACGCGCAAACCCTTTCATAGGATCTTCTGCTGCTTTCCTCAGAAACGATTGGGTTTGGAGTTTTCAATTCTAGAGGGTTACGTCTGAGGGTTGGTCTTGGGTCGCTAAGTCGCGCTGATTGCACTTCCACACCCGATGTCCTTCACGAAAAGAAACTCGCAAGTCTGTGCAACAGCAGGCCGAAGCCAAAAAGTCCTGTTTGGTTCTTTTGGATTCACCTCCTGAACTGTTGCCCCGACAACCCTCGGAACATCTCAGCCCCGTAACTGAAATTACGAGCCTAACCTGCAGAAATCCAACTGGGCTTTCAATAGACAGCTGTGGCCAGCCTCGCAGTCTTCGCAAAGGGCTGCGCCGCTTGCTGCCCAACGCCCCTGCTCGCAGGGCAGACCTGAATCCACATCGGTCTGTCTCTGTCTATACATATGGGTAGTTCTCTAAATTAAAAAGGACGCTTACCCAAACTGGCGGTGTGTCTGTGATAGCCATAGCTGACGGATAGATAGGTACAGTAGACGATAAATAGCAGGGCAGCTTCATATATGCAAATTTCTGCATTCTTGCACAGCTGTCGGTGAGCTATGTACCATTTCGGTGTGTGACCACATATGCGCATCTTCGTGCACAGCACTAAGCTGTGTTGTTGATCGGTGCTGCGTCTCGGCATCTCTGCTTTTTCGTATCTGTGTGTGTGTGTGAGTGAGTGTCTGCGCGTCTACTCAGAGGACTTATCTCCGACTGCGTGTGCCAAACTGGGGACTTCGGTTTCGGAGTTTATTTGTCTTTTTTTGGAGGCCCCTTTTCGTCCCTACAGCAGGGTTTCGGCTGGAACGCCAGGATGGCATAGGCTTGTGGTTGGTGTTGACGGTTAACCAACTCCATCATCTTACCAACCATCATAGACATAGACCCACCCAATTCCTTACCCGGAGAAGGCACACATCTACCCTCCACCGTACGGAGCATGTGCAACAAACGGCCAGGAAAGTCTGCTCTTTCGAAACCGAACCCTGCCTACATTTCCAGCAGATCGAGGCACATCAGCACTGTAATTATCCACTGCAGACTCTTCAGACAGAAGAAACTTCCGAACCGCCTACCATCTCAGCTGTCGCATGACCGCACAGCCCTGACAAAAGCCTCCTCCCAAAGGTAAAACATCCGTCAAACCAATAAAACTACCACATGGGTAGCTCTCCAAAATTAGGGTCCCTTTTTGGGTCCCCAATATAGGACGGCAGCCTTATAAAAAGGACACTAAAACGGACCCCTAATGTAGAGACCTACCCACATAGCAGCGAACCCAGCAACAGCCCGTCAAGGCTTCCTGTGATGTTCACCTCGGTTAAGACCCAAACACTGAACATGTTATAGGGGAAAAATTTCCCCTATAATATGTTTAGTCCTTAGTCTTCGGAGGCATCGCGGCACCCACCCATCGGCCCCCAGGCACAAAGAAAACAATAGATTTTCAAACCTCGTCACAGAATCTAGGCACCAAGGGCCCTAGCAGACTCGGTAGGAAAAGACCCACAGCCTTTCACGAATCACATCCTCTTCGCACCAAGGCAAGCGCAGTTTCAGGGTTTAAGGGTCCAGGGTCCGAGGGTTCGGTTCTTTTCTGCTGTCTCTTCCGCCTTTGCTCTTAGAGTTTCGTCTTAGAAACCCCGGCGCCGACTTCAGAGTACACAAGACCTCCACCGACACCGGGATTGAAGCCAAGTTGCAGGCAGTAGCGCCGGAATCTTCGGCAAAGAATCCAGGGTCACAAAGGCTGCAGTTCTCCCCAGCAAGTGCAGCGAAGCGTCCTGTCCCGTAAATCGGGCTTCGGGTTTTGCTTTCAATGGAACACTGACTCGCCTCCAGAAGAGCCCCAAACTTTCGACCACTTGAGGTCCCACACTGCCACCAGGAGCATGGGGGGGGCTCCTTAACTTAACTCGTATCGCTATGGGCTATGGGCTATGGATGTCAAACCTCATTTCGGGAACCTTAACTTAAGTCGTATCGCTATGGGCTATGGATGTCAAACCTCGTTTCGGGAACTACCCATGTTTGAGGGGTTCGGGTGTAAGAAACTACCCAACTCTGAGGGTTGGGTGGGATTAAGTCGTCCCCGCAAGTGGCCTTGACACAATGCGCCCCGATGCTTTAGCTATACAAGGATTCCTTTACAGCGCTCAACGCCCGCAGCATACTACACAAGTCGAAGGCATTGGGAACGCGGTAAGAGCACTCTAGGTATCTGGGCATGCTAAAGGAGAATCAAGACGTCGCCATACTGTTCCCACTTACCTCTGTAACTCCTCTACCCTAGACGATTGTCCACGCATTTGGAGCTGTTCTTGGCTTGGAGGCTGCATACAGCCCGGAGCCCTAACCCCTAGTAAGAATTCCTATTGCCAACAGGTTCCCCCCATGATGTCCTGCGGAGCAGTTCTGACAGCTACTCGATCCAGGTAAACTGCTCTGTCCAGGGTTGCACGCCATGCAAACCTCACCTCGGTTTTGTGGGGTTGTGGGTTGATGGTCAGGGTGTACGCTCTCGCAACTCGGACTCCGCCAGACGAGGTCTCTATGTCCAACTACGCCTTCATGACTACTCCGACTTCGCAATCACTGGTCATTATGGTCTTGGGTTTACGGTGAGTACAAGACTGCAAGGACAACGCGGCTCTCTGAGCCCTCCGCTGCTGCTGGCATAGGTTTGCATGTGATACCTCCCGGTCTCGCAGTCCTCCACAGCAATGGAGAGGCCCCAAAAAAACACCAAATCCTTGATCCTCCAAACCCACAAAACTGAAACTCAGACCATCATACAAACTGGAAAGCTCCTCCATCCTCAGGGTCGAAGCCTAAAAACCCTAAACCCCAGACTCCCTTTAAAACCCCCTCTCCCCTCCTCACAGGCGCTGGAGCCACTGCTATTGCTGTATTTGCCAGGGCCACAGGGCTCGCAGGTCGTCAGGTCCGTGGCCCCGGAAACATTGCCTCAGAGGCGCAGAGTCCTTTCGAAGGACTCTCTGATGGCTCTCCTAGGCTTCTGAAAAGAATATCAGCGGGGGAGTCTGGAAGTGTTAGCTTCCCTTCTCATAGCATAATCGTGGCTCTCATTGCGAACGCAAGAGCTACGCTCGATCCATCTCTTGCAAGTCTACAACCCGACCGCCATACGCTAACGCTCAACCAAGCCGCTGGAGGTACCAGGCTTGCAGCGCGAACACGCAGACATCCCAGCACTGTCCGCATAACTGCCAGCCTCGCACCCTCGGCACGCTGTCCTTTCAGGCTTCATTGCAGGCTTCGAGCTGCAAGGCTTGGAGTTTGGGGTTTTGTGGTGCGAGTAGAGATTGACCCAGACTGCAAAATAGTCTGCTGCCATGCAACTATCGCCTGCCTATCTGCTAGACCATCATGCCACGAAAATGCGAGTACTAAGTGAACACGGACACAGAGACTTGTAAACCGAAGGCCGGAGCCCAGGTAAACTCCGGAAATCACGGCTCTGCTGCCTCGAAAAAACGGTAGACACATAAATCCGCAGTTTCGGGTTTCGGGTTTAGGGTGTCACATAAACTCTAAATTTAACTGTGGGCCGTGGGTTTTCTTGACGCTCACTCCCGAACTGCGAAAGGGAAGGTCTGAGGAGAAGACTGGGTACTATGTTATCGAAGACTCTAAAATGTAGGGGCCTTAATGGTTAGAAGAGGGTTTTGGTGTATATCAGTGTATGTTATACTGTACTTCTCATAAGGAGCCCCCAGAATAGTATAGGTACTTACTAAGGCCCCTATATTAGGTTGGGTTTTCGGGGTTTCAAGACTGGGGTGTTTCGGAAAAACTACTCTTGGTTCAAACTCCTACAGTAGCCAAGCATCGTCCCTGTGGTGTTGGCATAGCTCCCAGTGGCACAGAGACTGCAGGTCCAAGTTTGAACTGCCGTGAAAAAACCACACTCGCCTCCAGTGCCTGCGATTGGAAATCTCATGAGTTGGGCTGTAGACTGAGGGTCTCCGAAGCAGCCATCGGTTGGGTCTCAAATGAGAGGGAAAATTAAAATATAGTGCAGCAGATCAGGCATTCATCAGGACAATTAGCCGCTCCGTGTATGGAGGAGCGTCTTACTACTGCCGCACCGACAGAAGAAGGCATGCCAGTGCGAAACCCAGATGCTTAGGTAGTGCATCGTTAGAGATCGGATGGCCAAGCCGTCCTTAGCTTCATTCGCCAGCGGGGGATGCAACCATTCTTTGTGCGCAAACCCTGCTACTACTGCTGTTGTTCAAGGCTTGATTCCTTTTTTCCAAAGGCGGTTCCTCGGACCTGAGAGACGCTGCTAGGCTATGCGAAGGAGTTCCGCAGCCTTCTGCAGGCCAGGCTTCCTGCGAGGCCCAAAGACGGATGGTCGTTTGCTCCTCTGAAGGCTTTAGGGTTTATGTTTTAGGACGGTTTAGGGTTTTTTCCCTAGGGTTTAGGGTTTAGGGTTTGGGGTTTGCTCCTCTGAAGGCAGAAGCACAGAGGCCGACAAGCCCGTCTCTTGCCAGGTGGTGGTGCCGGCAGTGCTCCAGCCAACCGGTGCACCACCACTGACCGTAAGCTCAAGAAGGGCAGGCTGGCCAATCGGCGATCGGGTTTCGGCTGAAAATTGTACCAACCTTGGCCGCTCTCTCTCTCTCTCTCTCTCTCTCTCTTCGATACTGACGCCGGAAGCCACCGCTCACCTAGAACAAGTGCTTATGGTAGCAAGAAGCGACTCAGGCGCAGCCAAAAACATGATCCAAGCAACCTCTGAGAAGCGCAGGCGGCTTTGAAGGAGAGGATGCCAGAGCAAGTGCCCGCGCATGAAAGCTCCGCTTCTCCAGGCCCAGAGATGAAACTCCCTGATAAGTGGCCCAAGCTACCTGGGTTTTAGCGGCTTCATAATGGTGATTCTAAGTCTACGAACTAAGACTGACACTCATGACGGTAGAATGGATCCTGATACGTAATTTTATACCACAAAACTGTTGAAACCCTGAATCGCGTGGGCCTTTGGATTAGTTCTTTTTAATTGGTTCTTGCTAAACCCTAAGCCTCTGACCCTTTCATTGGCCAAGAGCCCCAAACCCCTGAAAACCATGTTGGTAAAACCCTATATTTTTTGGGGGGGTTCAGCAAATAGGGGAGCCTAATACAGTACCCTAAATAGTAGGATCCTTATTATAAGGAACCCAAAAAGGTACCCCTTGTTTTAACGGAAACTCCCATTGAAACCCCAAGAAACCGCCGAAACCAAGCGGCTGGCGACGCTTTGGCTGAGAATGGGGGCTGCCGCTGAGCCTTCGGCACAGGGCTCGCAGAAAGATGCGCCTTCTTCACTTCGCTCACCCATCCTTGGATTCGGGTTGGGTACTGCCCCCATACAGTAACAGTCTATAAAAGGGCTACTATTTCGGGCCTAATATGTCCATAATACATCCTTGGGTTCGAATTTCGGCGCTCACACTCGGACCATCAGGGTTTCGAATTTAGGGTCCTGTGTAGGACTTCTTTCACCCATCCTCGGGCTTGTTTCGGACTTGAAGGTTTAGGGCAGGGATTTCCGCTCTTAGGTGGGGTTGGGGTTCAGGCTATGTTGCTAGGCCGTTCTGTAGCTTCTGTATCGGAAAGCAGTGTGTGTGGTATTTGCAGGGTCTACAATATTCACACAGGAGAAAAGCTTACCGCACGAACATGTCGAGTGCGACGCTGTGATCTACGGTCTCCAAGTCTTCAGGCACAAGATCTACAGCACATGAAGAAACGGCCTATGCATGCCTAGACCCCATACCCTAAACCGCACCGAATAAAACATCAAGACTAAATCAGATCTGAGCCTCAAGCAAGGTGTGCAAGCCTCGGGTCCAGTAGCTCCTGGGTCGGGATTGTATCCTGGGCTGTTGTCTCGGGAGGGACCCACAACATGATTCATGGTGTTCTTCTTGGTGCAACAGAAGAACATTCTTATAGTAAAACCCAAAAGTATCCCAAAGTGTCACCTCGTATCGCCCACGCTCGCAGGCACTGCAGTTTGTGGCGGTATCGGAAACGAAGACCAGGTAGAAGCCCGCGAGGCAGTCGGAGCCTAAGTAACATCGCAAGGACATGAGTCCGAACTGAAACGGTCTCTCTCTCTCTCTCTCTCTCTTTTGCCTCTCTCCTTTCTTCCCACCCGCCCTCTCGGTTTGGCTTAGGGCTTAGGTGCGACTCCCCTCCACAGTCTCCACTGAGGGGGTTTCTGGATCTGCCCGTTTGGCTTCAATATACTACATCCTTTTGCATCCAGGCCTATTGCAACTGTCGGGTACCCCTGCAAGGAAAAAAACTGAGGGCCAGGCAAATATACTAAATCCTAAACCCTAAAACCCTAAAGCCTTTATTCCTGTGTCCGAGTAGCAAGGGTTCGTATTGCAAATTTCCATCTGGAGCACCTCCCCGAAGCATGCCTGGAATCGTCGGAAGCTCCGTTTCAGCACTCACTCTCGGACATGCCTAGGCGAGGTTCCTGGTACGAGGCGAAAGCACATTGGCCATGGGAACGGCACGTACCACCGTCCCTGCGACATTAACTACTACTCCCTAGCTCACAGCTTTACAGGCACTCCAGGCTCGGTTTAGGGTTCAGGGTTATGGGGCCTAGGGCTTTTGACACTTGGTACACTTCTCGACTTGTTCGTGTTATCCTTGCGCTGGGGCCATGCTAATTTTCTCCGTCTCGTTCCAAGTTTATCGGATGATCCCCCAAAATTGTTTAGGGTTAAGGGTGAGTGCAGCAGTTTCTCGCCTAATCTAGGCTTATAGTAGCCGGGATAGCAGCTTGAGGCGAGGCACGCCCCAAAGCCTATAAGCTCTGACCTTTCGAACCCGGGCAAACCATAAACCTCGTTCTCACAAAGCGTGTAAGCACAAGCCTCAAATCCTATTCCCATAACCCACATTCTACTCTCAAAACCCTCTTCTTACGAACCCCAAAAATAGACCCTAAACCCTGTTACATCAGGAAAACTCTGAACCCCAAACCCTGAACCCAAAACCCTGAACCCTAAACCCGAAACCCAAAGCCCAAAACCCTGAACCCAAAACCCTAAATTCCCTTTCAGCACGGACTGAGGTGCCGGCCAGCGCCCATGCAACCCTCACCCCGTCTTATAAGGCCTAAATTCCCTAAACCCTGAACCCTAAACCCAAAACCCTAAACCCCAGTCTCCAACTTCGAGATGCTTGGCCACCAAACTGGTCGGCCACAGCGACCGGGCGCTCCCGGGTGCGGTTGCCGCCATTGCAGGGGCGGTCGCACTTTCCCCAGTCGGACCAGTCGGCGAGCACGCAGTCGACCTCAGGTTTTACCGGGTTTAGGGTTCTGAGGGCTTCTTATCTTATTCAGGGCCCTTAGTCTGAGGATACTACTATGTACTATTTAGAGTCTTTTGCAAGATCCTCGATTCTCTGAAGCTCTTGCCACATGGCCGTGGCTGGGTCAGTT